ACCTAAGGACAGGGTTGCCCACCTCGACCGAAAAGAAGTTGTGTACAAAATTCCGTGTCCCAGTTGTGATGCAGTATATTGTGGCCAAGCCGGAAAAGCTCTATCCACCCTCATCCATGAACACCAGTTAGCGGTGGGGAGACTAGATCGCCATTCACAGGTTGCCATGCACGCACTGGACACAGAACACAAGTTTGCATGGGAAGAAACCCAAATCGTTGGAACCTGTCCATCTAAGAAGGGTCGCGAATTCCTGGAGGCAATGCACTCAAATAAGGCATGCATTAACAAGCATATCGATCTTGGTGTGAATTACAAATCACTGAAGATCAGCTGGAGGCAAAAGCAGTCACCGCCTACCACATGATCAAATAAGGATGACAACTGTATTCCCCCCCGGCCCGCATAATCACATACAAGTGACGATTATTCCCATTGCCTGCATAACCAAATGTGGATGATGATTATCTACACACATTGTTACAGACTATATAATCTTGTGTTAGTCATTGGTTTAAGTTAACTGTTTTTGTACATATCTCACACGTCTGAACACGAGCTGGGGAACCAGTATCGAAAATTCACTTAATAAACCTTTCTCTTTCCCAAAGGACATTATCGCTCATTAAATATACATATCTAATATATAAATATTATATATATATCTAAAACCAGCCAGACTGTGAGCTCTTAGATCAACTGTTAGGGCGTTCGCCCGGACGGGAGAGATCGCGAGTTCAAATCTCGGTGTGGCAGCAATTTTAGTGGCCACACTGAGGTTGGGTATCACTAGCCGATGACGTCTAATAAGACGGAAAAGGCCTTCCTAGTGTCCCATGTCTTTGCTGGTAATGTCCTTCTGACTACATCCTAGCCGCCTCGCGGCGGAGGCTCGAGAGAGCTCTAATGGCAATATGGACGGACGAGTGAGTCCTCTGCCAGATCGGTGTACGCGTATATGCCACTATATATATGTGCAAGTAGAGTGCTGACCGATCTATCTGGTTAGGGAACATACTAGTCCCGCTGAGCCTGAAAGGTCGTGTGAGACCGATCGCAGGCTGTCGCTTAGCGACTTCAGACATATGATGGGGTGGAACCGACAAAGCGACTGCCTGCAATTGGTCTACAACGGGCTTCCAGGCACAACGGGACAAGTATATTCCCTAATCAGATAGATCGGTGAACACTCTACTTCCATCCTATTCCCGATCGCAACCGACAAAGCAACGAACCCCCTGCTTCAATAGTAGTGTTGCACTCAATAAACAAAGGTCCCAAGTTCGAATCCCGGGTGATCCACATCTGGGATTGAATATGACTAGATGATAACGACGAATAAGACCGAACTGGCCATTCCGGTCGCCCTTGTATTTGTCAGTTCCACTCCATATAAATATGTGCATTCGTATACGCTTTTCATATATGATTAACTACTGACTACTTTTTAAATAAAATACTGTTAGCTCTTCAAGAGTTTCTGTAACATCCATGATTAAGTATTACTTTATTTCATAATTCTCCTCTAGGGGAAAAGGATGGCTGCAATGCCCCTGATGGTGTTAATTGCCCAGTCAGTAACCCTCTGGCGCCTTGGTTGTTAAACCTGTATCTCCTAATCGTGGTGACTCTAATGATGAATCTTCTGATTGCTATCTTTAGGTAAGCACATACATTCGTCGCTTAGTCAAAATACCACAATTATGTCTACCTCAGTATGCTTACCAGTGCATTCTAAGTGCCGCGGATGCCGAGTGGGATAGGTGTTTTTTTTGTTACAAAGTACGTTCTGCCTATAGGTTACTAAGTATGGACGTTTGCTTAATCGAATACCTTACCAACAACAAGGAGTCTGGCAGCGGAGTGGCTGACCACCGCAAACAACAAGCCGCTACTTATGAAATTAGAGAACTCATCTGATGCGGTTTCCGGTAATTCTACTGTAAGGGGTATTTAATTGGTGCTGGTACGGCAGTAGAATACCAACGAACCGCCTTACAGGTGGTTTTCTGCTAAATGCCACGGCAGTTAGGCCATTCCAATCTCCCCTGTCTTTGCTGGATATCTGCCTACAACTACCAGCTGTTCCGGCTGTCAGGGCCTCTGTCAAGGCCCAAGGCAAAGCGAGACAGATGAGTTCCCTTAGAAGTCTGGTGAACGTTCATCAACGAGTCTCAATATCCCCTGACCTAAACCGACGAGACAACGAGCTCGTGGCTGAATGGTTAAGAGGTTTGACTCCGATCGAAAAGGTCGCGAGATCGATCCTCGAGTGATGCTCCACTTGGAGTTGGGATGACTGGCTGACGACGGCTAATAACCCATAAATGGTTTTTCCACTCTCTTGTCTTTGTATGCAATACTGTCTGCCCAACCGTTAGACTGCTTGCTACAGTTTTTGCAGCTTTTCAGGCGTGAATAAATAAATCGATAATATTCAGCCGGAATATTTGTAAGAATCTCAGTACGAAACAACATATTCGCTTCTCGAGTAATTTTCTCCAAATTTAACTCGGAAGAAGGTTAGGACTTCGCACCCAAGACTGGGTTACTAACGTAAACACGCTGGACAAATACTGTTTACAACTGTTTCTAATGACGAGTACGAACGAGGATTCGAAACTTCAGGCCAATACACTTCTTGTTTCAATGCTCTAATTTTCTTATTCTTATGTAAATGCAAGATTTTCGCTAATCCAGTCCTTAGTCGAGATGTGCCTAGTTGTGTCATGCAAAGATGGAACAGGGCAAGACCAATTTTTGTTTCCTTTACTAAGTGTAATTATGTACGCCGATGTTTTGTACGCTCAGATTGTTTTAGTAAACTAGTCAATACTCATATGTGCGCAATGTTTTCACTTTATCTTCAAATTCAGAATATTTTATTTTTTACATTTATTTCCATTGTATTCTACGGACTAATGCTATAAGTGGACGCAAACAGTATACCTTGTCGGTGTCAGTCAATATATTTTAAGTAAATAACAGCAGCCATTAAAAATTCCATTTAAACGGTACCGGACTGCACGAAAAGTGGTCAAGTTTCGAACTCCATACAGATCCTTCTAGCATACAGAATGCATACTTCATGTTAAGTGAAGGTACGGCCTATGCGACAACAACCAACAACACATTCCCTGCCTTTCATTAGAGACAAATATATCCTAAACAAAACTAGCTACTGAATGAAATTGAGTAATATGCTTATAGTTATGCCTGCTTCATCATACAGCTTGATTCATCCATTTGCAGCAACGTGTTCGACCAATTCGAGTCCGAATCACGGGAAATCTGGAAGCGGACCAGATGTCGCCTGCTGGTCGAGTTCAGAGAAAAGACCATCTTCCCAATGCCCTTCAATCTGATTGAACGCATTATTCGATTGATTATCGCTGCCTGTAGAGCATGTGTGCGTTGCTGTAGGAGAGAAGGTACGTCAATGAGCCATTAACAGTGCTTACAACGTTTATCTTTCATGTGGAAGTCGAATAAGCTTTTCATACTAGGATTTGAAAGGCCTTTTTAATCGTTGTTAACGTGACAATATTAGTTTAAATGTTTGCGCGATACACTTTGGGTGAGTGTTATATTTTAGTCCCTTTCTCGGAATTCACTGAAGATCAGTATACGATCGGAGCAGTACGATACCCTGCATTTATCATGCGGTCTAAAGGAAACAGTGATCGAACACACACGCATGCATTTCCAGTAGTTTTTATCTTTAAAACATAATTTCATTACCGACGCAGATAA